CTGGAGTCAGAACGACCTGTGTTGTCATCAGTCCGGCTATTAGCTGCTCCCACTAGCCGCGTGATGGCCCCTCTCTAAGCTGCAGTTCACCGTCTTTAAAACAGAATGAATACTCAGTACCTCACAGGGTTTTGGTAAGGGCTGGAAAACAAATTTACCTGAAAATCTTTTTGAGGCAAATCCATGTAACCACATGAATAGAATAAACAACAGGATGGAAATGGGAGGAGGTACAGAGAACATTTGGCACGATGCCAGGGGGCAGAGGAGGCGGGCAGCGGGGCCCCTGCTCCTGGCTGGTGCCAACAGGTGCCCCAGCCGGCCAGCATGGGGGACTTGTGGCCAGGCGAGCCACAGACACCCCGGGTGGACAGAAGAGAGACTGATGGCAGACGTTCTGCTGGTTGGAAGAAGAAGAGCAGCTCCCCCTCCCAGGTCACGGTGGCCGGCCCCCCACGTCCGAGGTGAGGTTCCCCGAGGTCCCATCAGATGAGCAGAACCCAACTTCAGAGAACTGAAAAGAAAAAATCGGGTCACAGGCAGGCTCCGGGATGCAAGAAAGCATCCGTGCACAGCAACGGCCAGAGCGCAGCTCATACCTCTCCATGCCAACTTGGGAAGACGTGCCAACATGCCAACTTGACAACATGCCCAGGCTTTTGCCCTGGGCCCCTGCCCTGCTAGGCTCAGGAATCCCTCAGAGGTGCCTCTAGGTACCCAAGCCTGAGACCCAGCCCTAGCTGTCCTCATCTGATGCCCATAAACCCAGGCAGCCCCTCAAGGCAGACAGAGCCCACAGCGCTGCTGGGGCCACCGAGGGCTTTCTGCCTGCCGCCAGGCTGTGGCAAGTGCCACCCAGCTCACCGTAGCTCCTCAGGGAGTCAGGAGGGATGCTCTGCCTGCTGAGTTACCGCAGACCCGGCCTCAGCTCCCAGTGTTCTGGTCCTGCAAAGCCACCTCGACAACCACTCGCCTTGGGCACCAACCCTCTACAATTTGACTGGGACGGTTGTCTTGTAGAGCTTGAACTTCTGTTACCCTCCGGCCTCTGGCCCTTGTCAAGGGTCAACCTGTTGATACTGTCCTCACCCACCCTCCTGGAGAATTCGATGGCAGAGGCTACCTACCACTCCGGCCACCTGAGCAGAGTCACCCCCCCAAAAGTGAGGGTCAGGGGTTTGGGTTCTTTTCCTCAAAGGGGGCTCCTTGCTCCTTGCCCCGTTCTCCCTGGCAACCTCCCAGCTCGGCATAAGCTGGCTGTGTCGGGGGCATGACAGTGTAATCCCACCTGCTCCTGGAGTCCGAACACAAGCCCGGGTCAGGTCCCCTGTCCTGGTAAACCGGGAGCTCAGCGTGCCAGCAGGAGACCTATTTGGCCCTGGGTGGCATCTGCCGACTTAATGTCTTAGTCCATTTGAGCAGCTCTAATAAAAACACTGCACACTGGGGTGCCTGGTGTCCTCCATTGGAAGAGCCAGGGACTCTTGATCTCGGGGTCGTGAGTTTGAGCCCCGTGTTGGGTGTAGAGATGACTTAAAAAATAAATAAATAAAACTTAAAAGAATGACCATACACTAAGTGGCTTCTGAACAACAGAATTTATTTGTCATGTTTGGAGGCTGGGAAGTGCAAGGTCAGGGTGCCGACAGATGCGGTGTCTGGTGAGATGTCCATCTAACTGCCGTGTCCTCACACAGTGGAAGGGGCAAGGGAGCTCTCTGGGGTCCCTTTTATAAGGGCGCTAATTCCATCCGTGAAGCCTCCTCCCTCATAACTTAATCACCTCCCAGTCCCCTCACATTGGGGATTAGGTTTCAATGTATGAATTTGCGGGTGTGGGAGGCACAAAATCCAGTCTTTTGCGCTTAAACAAATGCTGTCTACTCATTCTATTCTAGGCCTTGGCTGGCCCTGAAGAGCCAGAGACTAAAAAAACACAGTTTCTGCCCTCAGGATGTTCACTGACTGAAGGGAGATAACGGTGTAAGCAATAACAAGGAGAAAGAATCGGAGCTTGGGCGAGGTCCTCAACACCCCGGGAACGGGTGCTAAGGGACGACCATGGCCCCAGTTCTGTCAGAGACTGAACTTCCAGGCAGTTCCCAGAGCAAGATGTGGGTACAGAGAGGAAAGCACAAGCCCAATGATAAGAAGTGGGGCCCAGGACAGACAAGAACAAGAAGCACGACCACAATGGGGACCCCAGAGCAGGTGCAACGCTCGGGGAACCCCCTCCCCCGTGAGAGCCAGCACTCAGCCCCTGTCCATGGTGTCGTGTGAGCGACGGGGAAGGCTAATCTGCAGGGCCAAAGAAACCTCCAAACTACACTGACCTAACATTTAGAACGAAGAGCCAGCTTGCCCAATAAAATACAGGACACCCAGTTAAATTTGGATTTGAGATAAACAACAAATTGTGTTGTCATGTAAATATATCTCATGCTGTATTTGAAATTATTTGTTGATTCTCTGAAATTCAAATTTAACTGAGAAGTCTATATTTTAACTTGCTAAACCTGGCAACCGTAAGACAGAGATTTATTTCTCTCTTCTTTCGTCGTATGACCGGTCTAGTCTGGTGGGGCAGCCCTGCTCCAAAAACGCATCAGAGACCACGTTCATCTTCCTGCCTCACCATTCTTCAGGTGTGGTTCAGAGCAGCCTTACCTGTGAGAAATCACTGCAATTCTTGGGTATCACTAGGGTCAAATAACAAAATAGCAAAAGCCCCTTGTTTGTGCTTTAAGATTTTATTCACTTTTTTTGGAGGGGGGAAGGGCAGAAGGAGAGAATCTCAAGCAGACTCCTCGAGTGCAGATCCTGACGCGGGGCTCGATCTCACAACCTGAGCCAAAATCAAAAGTCAGCTGCTCAACGAACTGAGCCACCCAGGCGCCCCGCGAAAGCCCCTTGGAACTGCACATACTCGTCAAAGGCACAGCCGATGACGATGCTGATAGGATGCTGGGCACGATACTACTTCTATTATCGAGGTCGAAGGTATGGGAACCCAGTGCCTCCTGGGAGTGGGACCCTTGAGGCATGAAGGAAGATGGTCAGGAAGAGGATTCTGAACAGGAGAGCGGGAAACATCTCAGGCCGCGTCACCTCGTCCGCCTCCCATTTGTGACCAAGTCGGGGAGAAGCCGCATCGGCTGGAGCTCCTCGGACAGGCAGGATGGGGCATCCACGCTCTGCCCCTGAATCCGAAACTCACCTGGCGTTTGAGTTGATGGATTCAGATTCTGCGGGCTTCCGGCTTGTGCTCAGGAAAACCCCCTTCGCATTACAGCTGGGCTTGGTTTCGCTGAGGTGTCTTTTCAAGTCCCCAGTAGAGGTGGGGGTGGAGGGGCACCGTCGCCTGTGTTTCAAGGCGCGTTTGTTTCAAAGTGGGCTTCGAATACTGCTGCAGTGCAGAACTGAGCCATTGTGAGCGGATAAATGCAGGGCTGACGTCTGTGGGCCTA